ATTTTTCCAGTCAAACAAATGTGAATTCATAGATTCATAGAATGCAGGCTGGAAGGGACCTTAGACGATCATCGGGTCCAGCCCCCTGTACCAAGCAGGAAAGACAATTGGGGTCAAGTCACCCCAGCAAGGTGAAAGTGCAGTCTTCTCTTGAAGATTTCCAGGGTAGGTGATTGTACCACTTCTTGAGGGAGCTTATTCCACAGTCTGGACACCCTGGCTGTGAAGAAGTTTTTCCTAATGTTGAGCCTGAAACAGTCTTCCAGGAGTTTGTCACCATTGCTCCTGGTTTTCCCCAAGGGTGCCCTGGTGAACCAGAGACTGGAAACCAGGAGGCAAGCCAAGGTCAGAAATGGGAGTTAAGAAGCTGGGAAACAAGCCAAGGTTAGGATCCAGAGTCAGGAAGTCGGGAGACACGACAGGGTCAAGAGTCAAGGACCGGGAACAAGAATAGGGAGCAGGAGAAAAGGCAAAGAGATACAGAACAAGCCTGGAGCTGTTTACACACTAGAAGTTCAGTACACTGGGCAGAGGTCAGCTGCTAGGGTGGTTCCCTCAATTCAGCACCGGGGCCAGTCAGGCCACTGGACTGGTCAGCAGATGTCAGCTAGAACTCAGCTGAGCCTGCTAGGTCCTTAAGTGTGGAATGGGGATTGTACCTTACATGGATAATTCATCACCTGGGTAACATTCATTTAAGTCAGGGTGACTCATCCAAATACAGAACATGCTAAGTTATGCCATCCTTGAAAGTCTTGATGTCAGCTTTCTGTAAAGGGCTTCAGGTGTATCTTTCTTAGCTTAGTCCAATTGAATGATTTTTTTTCCACTCTTATATCTGAAATCCTCAGGGGGTGGGGAGGTGATCAGCATTAAAAAATTATAGCATTGTTGAAGTTTGCCGATGACTCTGAAAATCATATATACTTTTACCTCTTAAAGAATTATTTGAAGTACAGAATGGAAGCTTGTCTTTCACTGAAATATAATAGGATGTCATTTGCACAGAGAATAATTACATGTTATTGTGAGTTATGATGTTCTGAATCACTGAAGAAGCCCTGTAAACTAATGCAGTTCATTCTGTGGAGAGACCTAAGAGGTAAAAGGACAGCTTTGCATGGCGCACATATTTAAGGAGAACATGCCTCATCAGGAAATGTTCAAACAAAAGAATATGCACGGTGAGCAGCAATTATAAAATGATTATAAATATCTTTTTAGTGTTAAAAGTACAAGTCCAAAGAACACTAATGAATGCCTTCTCAGCATCTAAGGCTGACTGAATATTTCTGACAATCTATTTTTAACAAATCATCATTTAAATAAGTTCTATGACATTACTAACTTGGGAGGGGAAACTTCAGTGCTTGAAATAAGAATCATAAAACACTTTAGCCAGAACCTCTAAAAATCAAATGATCTAAGCCAGGGTTAGCTTATGGCATTCGGACCATAGGTCTTTGCCTAGACCTTGGCTCCAGAAGTCATGCATAACAGATGACATTGGGATTTGACTTTCATTTGGAAATAAAAAGTTTCCTACTCTTGTAGTTTGCAAGATGGACTTTGGAATATAAATCAGGTTTAAATGAGATAATCAGATTTGCCTGCATTTGCAGGAAGCCTGAAACAATGGCTCTAATAACAGCAATGGGATATTAACTCCAAGCCCGCCTGCTTGGGAAAAATGAGAGACTTTATTGACAGTACTCCTGTGGTGCACTATCTGCATGCTGGAATCAAAGTATGCAGGGGACCCTTTTTACCCATCCAATTATACCAGTGGTTCTCAACCTTTTTAGGCTCAGAGCACCCCTCTATAACTTTTCTGAATTAGACATCCCGCAGCTGCTGAGATACGGTTTAGTTACATGTAAGCTCCTCAGCTTCACCTTTGCCCCTCTGAGTACGAGAGGGCCTTGTTCCCAAATAGACAGGAAACCCTGCTGACACTTCTGAGGTGTGGGAAAGGGACCTCATGCCACTACTTCTAGGTCCATAAGAGAGAAGTGGCTGTCTTGCTCCTACTCCACCAACTGCCTGAGGTCACTGAGGGATCTGGGTCAGAGTGTACCCAAAGTTTTGGACTACATTAATCTAGCAATGATCCCAGTCAAAACACTTACTGTACCTAAGGAACCGGGATTATTTTGATTTAGCACTGTGGACCTCACTACCAGTGAGATAACACTGAAATAAGACACTTGGGCTTGTAAGGATGAAATCAGGAAAGTCAAAACGCAATGGGAGTTGCAACTACCAAAAGACATGAAGGGTACCAAGACGGGTCTCTACGATAAGAGGAAGATCAGGGAAAGTGTGGGTCCCTTATTGAATGGGCGGGGGTGGGGCAAACTAATGATAGATGAGGAAGAAAAAACGAAAGTATTCAATGCCTTTTTCACCTCAGTCTTCACAGGCAAGGTCAGCTCCCAGACTACTGCACCTAGTAGCACAGTTTGGGCCAGAGGTGAGCAGCCAACAATGGTGAAAGAACAGGTTAAGAACTATTTAGAAATGATGGAGTTCATGGGGCCAGACATGATGCACCTCAGGGAGTTGGCTGATGTAATTGCAGAGCCACTGGCCATTGTCTTTGAAAATGCATGGCAATTGGGAGAGGTTCTGGATGATTGGAATAGGGCCAATATAAGAAACGGAAGAAGGAGAATCCAGGAAACTATGACCAGTCAGCTTCACCTCAGTCCCTGGAAAAATCATGGAACAGGTCCTCAAGGAATCCCTTTCTAAGCACTTGGAAGAGAAAAAGGTTATTCCATCCTTTCTGGAACCACCCTTTAGGTAGCTGAAGGTTGCTATTAAATTCCCTCTCAGTCTTCTCTTCTCCAGGCTAAATAGGATCAGTTCCCTCAGCCTGTCTCATAAGTCTTGTGCCCCAACTCACTAACCATTTTCATTGCCCTCTACTGGACTCTCTCCAATTTGTCCAAGTCCTTTCTGTAGTGGGGAGGGGTGTGGGGGGGAGCAAAACTGGACACAGTACTCCAGAAGTGACCTCACCAGTGCCAAATATAGGGGAATAATCACTTCCCTTGATCTGCTGGCAATGCTCCTTCCAATGCACCCCAGTATGTCATTAGCCTGCTTTTCAACAAGGGCACACTGTTGGCTCATATTCAGCTTCTTGTCCACTGTAACCCCAACGTCCTTTTCTGCAGAGCCAGTCAGTCCCCAGCCTATACTGATGCATGGGATTGTTCCATCCTAAATGCAGGACTTTGCACTTGTTCTTACTGAACCTCATGAGATTTTTTTTTTGGTCCAATCCTCCAATTTGTCTAGGCCTCTCTGAATCCTAGCCCTACCCTCCAGCATATCTACTTCTCTCCCCAGCTTGGTATCATCTGCAATTTTCTGAGGGGACACTCTTCCTATCTTCCAGGTCGTTGATGAAGATATTGATCAAGACTGACCCCTGGGGCACTCCACTTCATACTGGCTGCCAAATAGATATTGAGCCATTGATTAGTACCCTTTGAGCCCAACAATCCAACCAGTTTTCTATCCACCTTACAGTCCATTCATCCAACCAACCCGTGTTTTCTTAGCTTGCTTGCAAAAATTTTGTGGGAGACCATATCGAAAGTCTTGCTAAAGTCAAGGTATATCATATCCACTGCTCTCCCCACATCCACAGAACCAGTCATCTCATCATAGCAATCAGGTTGGTCAAGCGTGACTTGCCCCTGGTGAATCCATGCTGACTGTTCTCAGTAGTGGTGGAAAACAGAACAAGGAGCCATGGTCTGAAGTTGCAAGGGAACTTTAAGTTAGATATTAGGAACAACTTTCTCATGAGGAGAGTAGTAAAGCATGGGGAACAGACTACCCAGAAAGGCTGTGGAATCTCCATCCTTGGAGGTTTTTAAGGCCCTTGGCTGGGATGGTATATCTGGGGATGGTCCTGCTTTAAGCAGGAGGTTGGGCTAGATGACCTCCTGAGGTCCCTTCCAACCCTAATTTTCTATGATTCTAACAGCATTTCCTCTCATCACAGAAAATGGTTTGTGACCATTTTTACACCCTTTCAACAGAAAGGTTCACATCTGAAGTGGGTCACATCCACATTTTTTGTGGGTGCCCCGTTCCTTTGATAATCTCTCACACCCCAAATCCTTCTAGTGACAAGTGCACCATAGCACTGTACCACCTACCAACCACACAAGAAATTGTTCACAGGGAGGGTGGAGTAATGTAAGGAAAAAATAAGAATATAAAAAAACATAATTTTGCTGTTTTCTTAATGATTCGTAGCAACTGGAAATAGAAGGCTACAACCAGGGGCAGATACAGCGGGGTGCAGAGGCACAGTCGCACCCCCCTTCGATTCCTGCTCCACCTACACTTTGAAAACAACTGCCCGACACAACACCCTTTGACTATTTTTGCCTAGTTCATTATGGTTTTTTGAACTTAATATACAATCTAGCAAATCAGTGCATATTCCAATATTTGTTGTTGCTTGGATCTGAAATGGAATAACACAGCCCTCATTTTGGGGACCTTAATATATCATCTAGCAAATCAGTGCCTGTTCCATATTTTCTTTTGCTGCTAACTTAAACAATACAGCCCTAGCATATCAGTAAATCTTCTCACTTCACGTGTCGCATTGTACGTGAGGATGGCCCCCACCATCTGCACCCCTCTCGTCAAAAACCCTACATCTGCCCCCCGCGAGGACCATGTGGACCCATGGAGACTTCTGCCCCAGGCGCAAAAGGTTTTTCCATCCTTCCAAAAGTTTCTTTCAGAAAAGTTCTTTGGTCAAAACAACAACAACAAAAAAGACAACTTTGAGGGCTGAAGTTATTGATTTCTTCCAGGCATTGTGGCTTCCCTGCTCTATCTCCTGTCTCCTATTTCACCCCTGTCTCCAGCCTGGCACTGGGCAGCGGGGGCTGTGGTTGGAGCGGGCTGGGACTGGGCGCGGACTCGTGCTCGGCGGCGCCGGGCGAGCTGCACACCGGGGAGGAAGCAGTTAAGGCAGGCAGTGCTCCCTCCTGCCCGGGAGGCAACCTCTGCGTTTGAACACGGGCTGGGGCTCCCTTTGGTGCGGCTCGGGGAGGGGGCAGGCGCGCCGCTCCGGCTCTTTCTTCCCTGTGCTGATCCAGCGGAGGTGGAGATTTCCCGATCCCACCCAGCCCGGCGGAGACGGGAGGATCTGCTCAGCCTGCCTGAACCCGAGCCGCTCGCAAGTCGTGCCGGAGGGAGCCGCCTGGTAGGGCTCGGGGGCGCTGAGCGGGCCAGGGGCGGCGGGTCCCACCTGGGGGCAGCACAAGGTGCGACCCGCGGGGCTGGGAGAGGCACGCTGGCATGGACCGCTGCCCGGTGCTGCAAGCGGGGTGGGGGGCAGCCCAATGCTGCGGAGCCGGGTCTGTCCTTCCCGCCCCCTCGCTTTTCAAAAACCAAGTTTGTTGAGATCCTGCTTGACATCTCCCTTGGGGGCTTCTCCATTGAACAGCAGGCTGCTCTTTGCCTTCTGGGGGTCTTTGGGGATCCCAGAAATCCCAGGCTCTCACCTACTGACCACCTCTTTTGACATTTTTGGCTTTCTTGCGTGTCTCCAGCTGCTTAACCGCTCCCAGGGAGAGCGCAGGCCACCTGCAGATGCCTCCGCAGCCGGGCGAAGGGTGCTCCTACCCGCAAGTTTGCAAAAGAGAATTGTTTCCAGCGATTTGAGTTGGTCTGGTAAAAGATACTGGATTGAACCAAAGCACCTGGTCTACCAGTAATCATAGACATAAAGAGCTGGAAGGGACCTGGAAAGATCATTGAGTCCAACCCCCGCGGCTCTGAGCAGGAATACTGCTGAGATCAAATGTTCCCAGCAAGGCATCTGGGTAGAGGTGATCTCTTTTATTAGACCAACTCAATACTTGGAAAAATTGTTCTTTGCAAGCTTTCGGGCGCAAACACCCTTCTTCAGGCATAGGAAGATTTTTCTTGGGTGTTTCTGGCTTCCCTGCTCCAAGCAGGAGAGCTGCTGCTAATAGGTGAGGAGTTGTGCCCGCAGCTCTCCCAGGGTCCCAGGGTGTCAGTGTCTCCAGGGTGTCAGTAGCATGTTATACAGGTGTGCCAGGGCTGCCAGTGGCAGAGGAGCTGGGGAAAACCCCTGCTCAGACCCAGTCCACTCTGCCTTTCAGCATCCATGCTTTGCCCCCATTGAAGAGACTGGGCAGGATGGACCTACGGTCTGAGTCTTGATGGCAATTCTTAATGTTCTTCTGGTTTACTGCTTGTGGCCTGTGAGTCTGAAATAATCCCACAGATACCATAGCTCACATGTATGCTTTGGCTTTGTATTATCTATTAAGGACAGTTAAGCCAAGTTTTACTCCAGATTCCTGCGGAGATGTGTGTGCATGCATGCTGCTACTATGTTCACATACAGACACACTGAGCATAAGCAGTGGCAGGACATGTCAGTGAATCCATATAAAAGTGTTCTTGGAAATGATCACATGGGGGGCATTTTCAGGTTTGTTTAGCTTGTTGGGAAAGTGTCTGAGAATTTGGTTGTCGGTTTGCATGTTCTTGCTGCCTCTGACATCACATTCATAGGGGTTGTCATCCTTTGAGCTTCCACAGAAAAGTTTCATAAAACAGAGAGACCAGTGTGATTAAAGCATGAGTCTGGGTGTTAGGAAATCTGGATTTTAGTCTGGCTGTACTGCGGATTTACTTGGGCAAGTATGAACTTGGTTCTGTTCACTTAAACTCTCAGTGACTCAGTATTACCCATTTGTAAACCTTGTAATAATAAATAATAAAAGTTGTCTGACAAGGAGCATTGGGAAGCATAACTAATATTTATGAAATGATTTAGATGCCTAAGTCAAAAACAATTTAAGCAATGTACAGTATTTTTAATGGTCCTGAGTTACCAATATAACAGGTATTATAAAAAATAAATCTAAGGCTGCTATTCAGTTCATTAGATTTTAAGATTATAAACACAGGCTAATGCAGTGGGCAAGATTCTGACTTTAGATGCATGAGAAATCAGACTAGCGAGCATATAGAGATAACTTAGGAATTCGTATGTTCTATATACTACTTGAGAGAGAGAGAGAGAGAGAGAGAGAGACCGCATGTGCTACAGAACTGTGTATGCTACTATCATGCAGTCAGGGCACTTTATGTACCATATGCTACCATGGAAAAAGTTTCATAAAATTAAATGCAAGTATTACAAATGTGCCTGAGGCACCAATGTTAGTGAATTCTCTGTCAGTTTCCATTGTGAATTCTACATTGTTATTTTATTTTTAATAATCCCATGGCAAAAAAAGTTGGAGAGGAATCTCCATATACCATAAGATTCATTAGTTTAAAAATAATCTTCCAGTTCCTTCATTTACAGTATTGCGATTCTAGACTTGAATTTTCTGGTGTGGCCAAGACTGCCCTTGATGTTGTAAGAAATTGTCAGACTGAGAGGGAGGGATAGGGGAGGAATCTTTGGGATGTGAGAATTATACTACTTTTGATGTGGATCCCACAAGTGACATCTGGTCTGAACTGCAGCGTAGTATTTGTAATAGTGATAATCATCCATTGCTTCAGGAAATAGACTGTAGACTTTTCTTTTACTCAAACATGCGCTTGCTGTGGGGGATAACCATGCTGCTGATGTTCCCTCTACAAGCAGCGGATTTCATGGATTATTCCTTAACAGGCTAAACTGTGTACAGTGAACACATCAAATCACTTATATTTACACATAACAGACATAACTATGGCTAAAATCTAAATATGAACTCCAATGGAATTATGGAAGATGAGGGATACATTGAGCCTATAGGCAGAGCCTATTGAGCTGTACAGCAAATGGGAAAGCTTTAAAGGATTTGATCCAAAGTTTACTGAAGTCAGTAGGAATCTTTCTACTGTCTTCTATGGGCTTTGAATCTACCTCAGAATAATGGAGAGGATTTGAAAACCATCTCCAGGATCCTTATTTTAAAATCCAGTCTGTTACTAAGATAGATAAAAATACGTTAAAAATATCAGGGTTTCAGCAGACAAAATAGTTAGAAAATATAACTTTCTGGCTTCATTCTTTTAATGATGAAAGGCTGCATTTTGGTTATTTAGCTGAACTCGTTTAAGGAAATTTGCTTACATTTTCTAGGAACTGAAATATCATTCAGGGAAGCTTCTCTGATATCCTTTTCCTAACACACTTTTCTTGCAAGCCCAAGTCTTGTGACACAACTTTTATCTGCCACTTGTTGTCTGGAATGTTTTATTCCACACATAGACAAGTACTCCTGCGCATTTTCATGGTGTTGCAAGATCCTTTTAGCACAAGTCATCACGTGCCAAAGGTTATCTATCTGATTTTGTCAAAATAGCTTAGCTGGTATAAAAAACACATATTTCTTGCTAAATAAGAAAGTATATGCTTGCTTTTACTTCTATTGTGTTGACCCGTGTTTTACTTATGGGGGTTTTTTGTATTATGTCTCCATATAGGTAAAGAAGTGAGAAGGATCACAGTAAAATATTGAAAGAGCTGTTTCACACAATTTGCTTGCAATTCAAGGCTTCAGGATGGGAGCTTTTTGCTTATGGGTGTCCTTGATGCTTCTGGTACCAGGATTTGTCCTCAGTGACAGTTCTGATAGATACTACACCAATCTGAGTACTTTCACCATCTACTCCAGAACAGAAGCTAACCTACTTCTTACTACCAGCAAACCCATGGTGGCCAACAAAACTCACCCTTGCAGCCAACAGACGAAAATTGCTGACACTTTTAAATACATTAACACAGTGATAAGTTGTGCTATTTTCATCGTTGGATTGGTTGGAAATGCAACTCTCCTGAGGATCATTTATCAGAACAAGTGTATGAGGAATGGCCCGAATGCACTGATAGCTAGCCTGGCACTAGGAGACCTTATCTATATCGTCATTGATATTCCTATCAATGTATATAAGGTAGGAAGAAACAAGGTGTATACTTCAACTGCACCGTCTCTGTGGGTTCACAGCAGTTTGGCATGTTTCTTTTTTGTCTAATTTGTGCTTTTATTTAATAACAAGAATGTTATTAACTGGAGTGTAAATTTAAATATAACTCAGCTGTTTTCAAGAACAAAAATCAAGTCTTCATTTACAGGTTTCTCCTCATGAAGATATGGTGTGTTTTCTTTTGTGAATGATCCTGCTCTACCATATCAAAGTTTCTCCTTGCATTTAACAGCAGCTGATTAAAAATCAAACACAGCTGAGCTTAATTTTAGATGATGTCCTTATTACACTTAAGGAAGAAAAGGGTTAATCAGATTAAGCGAGCAGCTTTTGAAAAAACTGCTATCTCTTTTTATGGATCAAAATGCATAGCTGCTATTTTGAGACTATCCTATTCTTGCCTTATGTTTATACAGAGAATATTCTCTGAGATTTACAATATTTATATGGTAAATCTAAGTGGGCTATGACCTGGTAGGGTGAATTATTAAGGTTTGAGTAGGAGAGGCTTAGATCAGTTTAGGATTATTAAAATCAATTATGCTCCATAATTGTTTTTTAAAAGTATTTCAGAGCTGGATTTATAAAAACATTTGACGGATTATAAACAGTTATTTTAAATGTAACTGAGTTTCCCGGTCCGGCCTTCATTGCTTTGCGCTTGTAAGACTGGAACGCTCTTAGAGAGAGACAATCATTCTTTTCTTTCTTGTTTTAGCCTCTATTTCAGTTACTCAAACATATTCATTATGTATGAATTATAGACATATTTACAATACACTTACACATAGAATAAGTTTATAAGACATTCTAAAACAAGCGGTTTTTTTAATTAATCAAATATATATAAGTAAATATAATGCTCAATATTTGAGCAGGTATATATGAAACAAAGTAACAACGATTCTTTTACAAGGGGATAAAATTATAGGTAATTCCATTGAAGGGTAAATTAGTTTTAAACTAGTCTCAGATCAGAATTGAGTGAAAGGGAAGGCCATAAAAATGCATACAGAAGCTGATAGCAACTTTCTGTCAAAATATTTTTTCAATAGAAATTACAGGATCTATAAAAAAAGATTTCAGCTTTCTCTGTGGAAAACTGAAATGGAGCATTTTATTATGGGTCAAATTGACTGACATCAAAATATTTTGGCTTAACATACTGATTCATAGAGTTAAGTTTCTGGCTAGTTTCACAATATTCTGGTCTGTCAGAGCCTCAGAGGACTTGTAGTTTGGGAGCCTCCAACTCTCATTCCTTCCTGTAGCCCAACTCACTCTAACCTACATTTCCCATGACGTGTCAGTATTCCCTGTGGTTCAACTACCATGGTTGAACTACCCTTTGGATATATTTTATGCATTGTGGGGAGGGTTTGCCATGGATCAAATTTTATCGGAAATTTGCAGAATAAGAGAATAAGGCAGATGTTTCTGAAAGGTTAGAGAACAAATGTTGCCAACATTTACACTATTTTTTTCTCTAGACATTTTGAAGAACTTTAATGTCTCTGGGCTCTGGAGGAAGATCTAGAAATTTGGGGTGGGGGAAGAAAGGAGTTCAAGAGAGAGTGCCTTAGATCAGAGTGCTGCCTTTTATTGGCCTTAGGAAAAGTCATATAATTTCAATCATATTATAAGGTGTAATTTTTAGGTGTGCTGACATTTTTTTTTAATTTCTTCTTCAACTTTTGAGTGCTGTACTGTACATCCAGCCTAGCCTCACAGAGTCCCATTGAGTCACTCTGAAGCAGAGGCTCAAACCTCCAGATGCAAACAAAATGGCTCAAGGCTAACACATGAAAATACCCAGAGGGAAAAAAAATTATAATCTGTGGTCATGGAATTAAAGACTTGGGGTAAATTGTTGGCATCAATGTGTCAGCTCTTCCATAGAAAGAAACAGAATTGAAGTTGCACAGGCAACCTTCCTTCTCACATTTCTTACTTTTTGAGTTCATGATTTTGAAACCCGAATGACTTCTTTTTGCAAAGTAATATAGACATACATCCTGGAAGTAAACTGTGGAGTTGGTTCTGTGTCATCTAATGCAGAGAAATGCTGATAGAATTTAGAATTAAGCACCTTGGTAGCTCTACCTATCACATGGCAATATTATTTCTAGAATATTTTTCATATAAAGCATGTCAAACTCACTTACACCCCATGGCCAGATCCAAACCACGGGGCTCCACGCAATCCAGATCCAGACCACAAGGAGCCTCCCAGGCTAGGTCTGGACCTGGAAGTAGGGGCAGCGCAGGGGTTAACTTGGCTGTTACTTTCCCCCTCTACCATCAACAAAAATGATCGTTGGGGCTCCATGCCCTGGATTTCATTGGCAGGTCCCATCCCCACTCTACCCCTGAATTCCCAGCTCCTCTGTGAGCCCCATAAGTTGGAATTGGCATGCAGGCCGCATATTTGACACCCTGGATATAAACTATTTGGTGATATAAAAAGTAATTATGCTGCTAGTTAGAAACTGTAAGGACTTAAAATTAATATCTTTGTAATTTCCCTTCAAATATCATCTTGTCTTTAGGGCCCCTAAAATCTTAACGCCTACAGAGCAGCATTTAATTCCATCTGTCCAGCTGTGCCCACTGGAAAATATTAGTTGAATGTGAAAATCATTGGGATAAGTCTTTGAGGAAAACCCAGTGTTTAAAGAAGGAGAGCTTCTTTCCTGTTGGTTGAATACTAGCTTCAAAGCTTTCTGTACTCAAATCTGCAAAAAACATTTTAAATGCTTCGTTTTCTTTAAAGATTGGCTTCATAATAAGCCACATCAGACTTAACACAGTCAGCAAAGTTGAGCCACTATAAGTTGAAGGAGCTGGTGCACCGTTTTCTGGTGAACATTGTATTTATTATTATTAATGGAAATAATTACCAGTATCTTTTATATATGAATTCTTTCAAATAATAGTCTGATCCCACATTCTTTGTTCAAGCAAAACTGCCATGGACACCAAAGTGAACAGACATTTATCTAGATAATAAGCACATCCATAATTAAGTTACCCTGGATAAAAAATGTATAAAGGGATATATAGACCTTCATGATTCAATGAATAAGCCATCTATTAACTGACTGAGCCTAGGAACAAGTTTTCCCAGTGGACAGGTTATTCCATAATTGTTTGCTGTATCAAAATCTATCTTTTTCCAAGTTTCTTTGCCTACATTATACATGTGCAATAACGGACCTATAAATTAGCCTGTATGTATTACTTTCAGAAAAATGTAAATGGCAAATATGGTAAATTTGCCCCTTCTTAGAGACCAACTATCAAACATTATCATGACAAGAGAAACATATATTGAGAAGTAAAGTGATTTTTTCCATAAACTTGTTCAAAATGCTGAAACTGAATGAATGAATGAATTTACAGTTATTCAGATTCACAGTCTGAATGTTTAGCCCTTCCTTGAGGGATCCCTCATGTAATACCAGGTGTGATCCTTCCTGTTATGCACCCTTAAAATAATTCAATATAATGCAATACTGCAAATAGGCTCAGTGGACTCATGTCAATTTATGTCACCAACAGATGTAGAGCTTCATGTTTAAACTGGTATCTTCTGCCTTCTACCCTTGCAGGGGATGGATTCAAAGGCCTGTTAGGAATTCATCCTCTACTACAATTTTATAACCTCTTTTACTTATGATTGCTTCCCCCTTAAGGTTTGCAGAGGGATTTAAACGTAGGTAACATTCACTAGCTTTGATGGCAGTCTGAATCTCAATCAAGTGAGACACGAGCCTTAAAACTACCTTCAAATTTGTTTTTAGTCACATGTTTATACTACCTGGACCTATATCTCCTTCCTTTCCTTTCCACTCCCTGGTTAGAATGGGGGCAAACCACATTTTTAGCTTACCCCCAATATCTTTAGTCTGTGTACTGAGGTTGCTGTTGCAGGGAGGCGGGGTGGTATGGGTTGGAGAGTGTTATGCACTTATTTGTTATTGTAGGGGGTGTCTTTTGTTTTGTTTTTAATCTAAGGGGAAAAAACTGATCATTAAAATATTTTAAAATTGCTGAAACAACAAATCTAAAATATCAAATACAGCTAAGCGTTCCTATGATAAATACCAGGGTTTAATTACTTTGATGGCATCTGAAATAGGACTCAAAATATTGTTAAAACATAATTGAAATACAACATACTAGTTTAATACAGGAAAGCTTCTTTGGAAAAGATTCCGTGACATTTTTAAAAACTGAGCTCACCTTCCACCCACTGGGGTTTTAAATACTCCTTTAAAACAAAGAGACATTCATTCAAATCTAATTTGTGTCAGATTGATGTGGGATCTATTTTGTCTATGTTAGCACTCTTTGATTCTATGGGCCCTTAGGTTACATGTGTATATCTGAGGCATAATGGTTCCTTTATTATCTTGGGAATTTTTCATATTTATTTGATTGCTAGTGTAATGAAGGACCCAAGCCAAAAAAGCTAATGTATGTATCCAGCAAACAGCTGAACAAAATGTTGCTATATGTGGAGTGATGCTTTCTGTTGGAAAGATGGTTTTAATGATGAAGGCTAATCAAAATAGCTATATAGAGAGAGCACAAGGTTTTGTGAGCTGACCTTCACTTAATCAAATGCTGTGAAAGGATGGTTTTAATGCCAACATCATAGTCACATCAGCATCTAAACCTCAGTAGTTTGTGCAGAGTAACATTAGGCTGAGTCCTATTCATGGTACTCCCTCTGTGTATGTTCACCAGACTGTTATATAAATAACACACATTTTCTGGGCTCTTCTCACTGGGAGAATTTTTATATTATACCATTTCTGGCTATTATCAGTGTTTGACATCAGAGAATCTTCTTGTGGGGTGTATAGATAAGCATATCTCTCCTCATCTTTTGCACAAAAGCCACACTGATTAGCAGCTTAGTGCATTAAACTGTTTTTTTTATCGTTATAATTAATGTTGTG